AGTCTATAAGACTATGGCAGCTCACGTACAATTGAGGTTGTTCACACTTACTTTGGTTAAGCCCTTTTCCTAACTTATTTGGCGGATAGAGTCATTCGTACAATAACAACCATTGCACATTTATTATCGTTGCGCTTGTATGAATATATATGTTTGAGCATTGCTTACTGCCTACGCATATATGTATCAGTCGCTCAATTGGTTTGATGATTCATCCAATTCACTATATATATATATATATATATATATCAATTATGTTGGTTGACTCACTCATTCAATTCGCAAGCTCACTCGCTTGCCTGCTAGCTTTTCAGCACTGCTGTTTCTTGCCTGCTTAGCGTATATGTACTTTTGGTTATCTGTGTGTGATGCAATAATAAATTTAATCAACAATTCATATTCGCCTTCTGTCAGGTCTTTATCTAGTGACAGTTATCGGGACGAGCTGTACATGAAGTTCAACGATTATATTAGATATCAACGACTACAAGACTCTAATCATGTCGCTGATCCTAATATGCCGATTCGATTCCAGAAGTCTGAGCATTTTTATTGTTTTATATATTTGTATTCTTATTATTTCTGGACAGACGACAATTTATGTATCTGTAGTTATGGACCAAGTTTTAAAGGGCGGTCGTCACAAACTCAGGGTCATGTATCTAATCGAGTGACGCGATGAATTTCTGGAAGGTTTATAATGATATTTTTTTATTCACAAAGTAACTTTTATGCTTAGTGAGTATTCGTGTTTAAGACGTCCACACAATGTTTATTTCCTACCAGATTACCAACACTTTCTGCGAAGTCAAACACTTGTGTAAAACATGATATTTATCACTTATAATTGTGCATCCCCTTTTTGTATCTGATAATTTTGTGCTGACAGTGCAGGGATTCTTCAGGTATGAATAACTTTAGTTCCTTTTTTCGAGGCAGATTCCTCTTTGGTTTTAACTATGGGTGACTCAAGAAGAAGGCGAGTAGACGCCTCGTAGCTCGCAGATCATGGGAAAACCATACGTCACTAACATGGTGTTCAGTAACCTGCTCACTGACCTTCATCAGATAACCTTGTTTCATTTTCTTAACTTTTATTTTCTTACAAGCTAGATTCTCCATAAGGAGGGCACGTTCACTAAGTCATGCTCGATAATTTGTGAGAAGGTAAATGTTACTAAATAAGATAACAAGCTCGTGAGGTATATGACATCTACGAAGCATCCCTGAATATTGACTGGGCCGTGGCCGTCATTGATTGGAGGTCAAATACTGAACGAGTCAGTAATTCTTTATTGGGCTGGGGAAACAGAACCGACATGTCATTGCTTGATAAATTGATCGAACCCACATTCCTATGAAGGTAGATTCCAAGAGGAAGCTGACGTAACAACATAGGCTGATTGGTTGAGAGTTGGCTGAAGACATCTGGACGATATCAAAATACTGTAGTCCAAATATTCACTTACTTCCTCATATTGTGGAGATATTTTAGTTGATTTGTTATGAGTGTTGAAAACGTTATGTGCAAGAAAACGTCGCTCTCCAAGTGCTCAGAATAAAGATCTATTCAACGAATAGTTTGGTTTCCTCAAAAGAAGAGTATCTACCGACACTAAGATCCCAGTGTTATTCACTCTTTAAATATATGTAACTTGGTGACAACTATGGAGCATTATCCACTTGCAAATATTTACGGATACTACAAAATTCTAGACCATTCACAAGATTTCTGATGATTCTGAGGCTCCACACTACAATTTCCTGTGCATTTGCTTTCGAAACATTTGTGCTATCTGACACGTCGTTTTGGATAACCATATGGAAAGACAGAATCAGAACTGTGTGGCCACTCCTACATAGGGGTGACATTTAATCGCTAACCCTGGGAAAACAAAACGGTTTTAACTGATATATTTAACTAAAAGATACGACTTTCAAAATGAATATCCCAGTTTACATAATAAATAGGATCGTCCATGTGAAGAACCATTTATTTACAGAAATTTTTACGATAATTTTCAACAGCATTGAGTAACTGAGAGTTCAAGCCCCTTATCTGGGTTATAAATGATAGGAATTGTCACTCGCAATTGAAACCACATAAAATTCCTGAGCTTCGAAAGTGCTAAATAAACAAGAATGCTTATTACGACTGAGTCCTAGTATTTAATAGGTAGCAACGTATGAGAGCTTTTCTAAACGACATGTTTTCCGTATAAACTGACTAGATTCAATCCAATTCATTGATGAATTCTGCAGGACACTTCGCTCTGTTATGAATGAAATCATAAAAACTTTCAAGTAAAAGCACACTCAAGTTATACTTTAGTACGAAGTCTATGATATTAATCATTTAAAGATCCCCGTCATATGAAAAGACTAGTATTTGAACGAAGAATATTTTTTTCGATAAATTCTCTTCAGGTTCTACAGTTATATATCCAAATTAATAATCCGAAAAATGGAAATGGGTTTGCCACTGGGCCCTATACTAGCTGATATTTTTCTAGCCAAACTAGAATATGGTCCACTAAAAAAGATTATTCAAAACTTCACAGTTTACTGTAGATACATAGATGACACGTTCATCCTCTAAAAAGATAATACGTCGCCGCAAGAGGTTCTTAGACGATTTAATGAAGCGCATCCAGCCATCCAGTTTACATGTGAAGAAGAGAGTGAGGGCCGAATAACCTTTTTGGACGTTCTCTTGACTAATAGAGCGGATGGATCGTTAAAAAGGAACTTAAACAGAAAAAGTACATGCACTGGGCAGTATACGAATTTCCTGAGCTTTGTACCTCTACAGTACAAACAAAACTTGATCAAAAACCTTAGTTACCGTATCTGCACTATATGTTCTGCTGATATAATCGAACAAGAGCTTAACAACTTGCATAATACTCTCAGGGAGAACGGCTACCCTAGAAAGTTTATAATTAAATATATGGTCACGAAGGCGAATTACAGACAGTGAAGAAGAAATCCCTGTTCATGCATCTACAATTCAGAGGGGATGCGGCTAGTGAAATACTAACTCAGAGATTACGTAGGACAATACAAAAGTCTTTTAACGCCAGAGAACTACGATTAGTATTTTCTACGCGCCCAGTGGTTACACTGAAGCTAAAAGATGAATTACCTAGAATGACCATCTCATTTTGTATTTATCAGTTCAACTGCTCCTGTGGAGCGAGTTATATTGGTCAAAGCTCTAGGAATTTACATTTTCGTGCTCGTGAACACCTTCTAGCGTGGCTAAATAAAGGTTTGATGAGGAAGGTGAACAGCTCAATATTGGCCCATTTAGTACAAACCGGTCATATTGCCAGTATAAACCAATCTTTTTCAGTGATTTATAAGGTAAGTAATTTTTTGCCAAAACTGGTCAGACTGAAAGTCCTTCAAACGGCTGAAGCAGTAGCCATCCGGATGAAGAAACCGGAGCTATGTGTACAGGAGGAATATATTCAACCACTCCTCCTCGCCTGACCAACATCAAGGCCAATTAATCAATCGTAATCTTAACTATTGAATGACCTAATTTGACTATGACCTTTCCTAGTCAATTGTAATTGTCCCTGTTATCTTCGTTCATAAATTTTCGTATTATTATTTGTACAATTGGTTAAACATCATTAATACATGATTCATTCACTTCGCATTCATCCCTCCGTATTATTATTATTATCAGCTTTATTCAATACTTTATTTTTGGTACAATATAGAATTCTCATTGTAAAGTATTTCAACAAGTTTTCGTTTCTTTCTTTTTGGTCGGTTCTGTCGATAAATACTGAGTGATCGCCGGTTAGATGTTAGCAGTTCAGTAAATGAACATCTGAATAATGTGCATTCTTTTCGCTGTATATTGCCAGCAACCACATTGTCTCTTATTGAGTTTTTTGTAACTTTGACTACGAAAGGTTGTACACTTTTCAGAAACGCAGCAGAATAGGTCATGCGATTAATAAACATAAGGATATATTAAAACAAACAAAAATAGATAATTTGTTGAAATATCTAGATGGCAAGAACAGGTAACCCAGATGCTCAAGCATGCCGCCCTATTATTTCTCTCTCACCTTATTTGACCCATATTTATTCTGATGATGGATCTTAAATCTTACTTAACATATACGTAGATTCAAGTTAACATTCTATATGAGTCATTTTAGCATTAACAATTTTATTGTATTTTGTTTATCACAATCCTAAATTCACATGCTTTAAACGATGTATTTTGCACTTAACCTGGCCATTTTTCGGATTATTAATTTGGATATATAACTGTAGAACCTGAAGAAAATTTATCGAAAAGAATATTCTTCGTTCAAATACTAGTTTATCATATTATAATTAATTATAAAATATCAACATTAACTGGCGTGGCAAATAATACAATTTGCTTGTTAATACCTGAGAGCGATAATTTAGTGCATAGTCCAAAAATAAGCCAGCATGAATCTGTTTAACAATGAGATTATAACTACACTGTGTTTAGTAGGCTTGAAAGACAAGAATAAAGCTGATGTAGCAATCTCACAGATGGAGCACAAACCCAGAAATAGATCAAGATTATTTGTCATAAAGTAAGAGCTTAAACTGTTCGAAATGCGTCAGAGTCGTTAAAATAGCGAAGTCAGAGCATTAAGCTGAAAAATGTCGATTGCATAATGTACACAATATCACGCATCATGTGAGCGAAAACGACAGACATTACTTTCTACCGTGCTACTGTACTTTTTCATAATTCATCTATATTTATATTTCGCCTGTTAAATATACTCAGTTTCCTACCCGGATGCATCAGTGATCTATTACGCCTGGATACTGCAGTCTGTTAAGCGAAAGCTTCTTTTATTCTGTCCTCTTCTATCTAAGCTACTCGGTCGCGCCGGATATATGCGTTGCGTTACTTATGCTTTTCGCGTTTACTCAACAAAGACTTTTAGCTGTTGAAGTTCAGCCATAGAGTAATACAATATTCTGTATGCATTTGCTTAAAAGTAATTGGTTTGAGTTCAATAGCTAGTTACTTGGTTCAAATGATTTCGGGAAATTCCAGTAGTGCACAAAGTTGTGTCACAAAACTATGGGTTACTCAATTATAATTAAACATAAAGAAAGTTTAAGTAAGCACTTGACGAGATGCTGCGGGTTAACGAGAAATTGTATGCATATAAAGTTTCTCTGCTTTCAAGTAGTATATTCATAACTATGGACAGACTCCCACATTTTGGTGATTCGCTGGAAATTTCACTGGTTTTATCGCAAGCCGTTATAAGCTTATGAGATATTTTTTGTCTTCCTAAACTTGCTATTGTCAAAGCAAGATAGCTTAATGATTGTGATCGGGTCACCTCAAGTCTTCATTTAAGAAATAGAGACTATTTGGTCCAGATAATCTACTGCCACTCGGAAATATCGTAAAGTTGTGTTTTGGCGTGTTTCAAGTTCTTCAAAACTACTCCAGCAGCTTACATTCTTTTAACTGGACGGGCTGCTTATATATTATACTCCAATTGTGGACAAAAAACACCCCTAATTCATATGCTCCTTGATATCTCGGTGATCGAGTTCCTCAGGTATTGCTTAAGATGTTTGTGGATGCTTAACGGCTGTAACTCATCAATCTCCAGTAGTTTTCTAGCTCTGACTGATAGTAAACCTTAGATTACTTAACATGGGTGCGAGGATGTTTCTTAATGAGTTTGAGGGCATCTAATAACATTTTTCAAATGTGGGTTCATTCTGGTAAGTTTTCTTGATCTTTATTGTGTGCCATAGTACCCTCTTCGTCTTGTCCCCCCCATATATTCGCCTTCTAATGAGGCTAACAACAGCAGAGGACTTACAAAGTTATCCGCTTGTAAAAGAATGACTGCTGACACCGAGACCATAACCTGGATAAATTTACCAAATATTTTTCAACCATACTTTATGTACACCCAACAAGAAGGTTATCTGTTCATATAAGACATTCACTCAAGAAACAGTACCACTATCCTTTTAAAATAGCTTTTATCAAAATATTAAACTGGATTGCTTGTTATTCGGTAGCCTTCGTTTTGTTTTATCCCTTCTAGATTATTGTCCTGGCTAGGGAACGACGGTTGTTATATCTGTGCACCTTGCTCTTGTTTTCATATACTTAAGTACCCCCAACCTGGACACAGGCATTTCAACTATTGGGAGTCGCATAATGTTAGAGGATGAGTTCGCTGAGCTGGACGTGAGTGTTCTGTTATAATTATGCTTTTGTTTAGCTAAATGAAAACTCTGAAAACTCTTTAAATGTATCGTTGAATTCTGAGTCTTATCTGCGGACAGGTTTCACACCTGAACGAAATGTCACACATGACATATCGCCCATTGACACTGGGAAAGAAACTGTAGTATGTTCAGCCTTATTTTGATGAAATTCAGAACACTGTTTCCGATGTCGCATTTGTAAAAGTCACAAGCCCTGCAAAAGTTGGTGAGGGTATTTCGTCATATATAGTATATCGTGTTAATACCAAGGTTTGTAATCACAATGACATTATTTTCAAGTTTAATGGCAAGGAATTTTCAGTCCTCAGACGGTTTTCTGATTTCCTTGGGTTGCATGAAAGGTTAGTCGCGAAGTATCTTTCTGAAGGAGTTATTGTTCCCCCTGTTCCTTCTAAAGATATGCTAGGTAACGGTTTAGTTTTGTTTTATGCTCTTCAGCTACAACTAAAGTTAAAATGTCAAAGGACGTTTCTGCGGAAAATGAATTTGTTGAACGTCGCCGAATAGCTTTAGAACGGTAAGAATTTTGTTAATAATTTCACAGATTCCTATCACGAGTACTCTCACATCCAGTTTTACATATTGATGAAGATGTCTGTGAGTTCCTTCGGCATGAAGGAGAGCTTCCACGTGCAACAAACACCCAACTATTGTCCGGTGCTGCAGCGATAAAAGTGATGAAAAATTTGGGTGATGCGATTGGAAAGTTTGCTTACAAAGTTGATGATCCCGAAGAGGTAAGCACTGATAAAATTGTTTGAGGGGTTATTTTATATCCAATAGCATGATAACTTGTATCGTTCATTAAATATTGATAATTTCTTTCCGTTTCTGGGAATCACTCGGGTAGAAAAAAGATCTATATAGAATATTTTGGAACTGGTAATACTAAATATTTCAAGGAATTTACTTTCCCTAGTGACGAGAAAATATGGTACAAGAGCTGATACTACTTGCTTGTACAAAATCTTGTGGATAAGTTAACACATGAACCTGCCCCTCTGCATCTAAAAGTAATTTGGCTAGGTTTCAGAGCCACATATCAGTAGTTAGTATATCCAAAAGTAATAAATTTCGGGAATATTTTAATTCTGAACGATTACCTAGTCCATGATGCTTACCGTACATTTCCAACAAAATCAGCTATCTTATCCTCGAATTGTGCAAAATACCAAGGTAACTTCGGTAGATTGGGATGCTTAAGTTCTGCGTTGTGTTAATGTTTCTGAGTTTACACATATGATGCGCCTGTTTTGGAAATCATTCATGTAACTCATTTACCAACTGTACAGTTTTGTGTATTTGACTTCGAGCTATACTATCTGTATGAGGGATATCGATACTAAATCGCTGCGCAAACTGCGATAAACGGGATGGTCAGGACTTATGACCTGCTGTTTGAAAGTCAAGTGCCTTAAATACTTGGTTACTGCTTCATGCAAATAATATGCAGTCAATCTAGATAGATCGTTGCTGATTTTTCAATCACTTGCCACTAAATTTTGTCAGACTAGAACAGGAAAAACTTAGTCTTCTATACTATGAAGTAATTCATATCAGATTATGCATTTCATGAAGTCAAAAAGATGTGCGAAATGGAGCGCTATAGTACGCTGGTTCAGGTTGGTTTGCTTCACAATATATAAAAAGAAATAACGATAGGAAAAAGAGACAAGCAACATTGTACAAATAGATGATGTGTCCCATAATTATGAAAGGGTAGAGAAAAAATGGGTCGGGATTTCTGTAATCAATTTCGAACCCTATCACTTAAGTTCTCTGGATAGTGAATTTCATCCATGAAGTAGTCGTTGTGCATAATAGTCCCTGTTTAAAGAAGGTTTTGCTAAAACCTGTTATAATTCCTCGAAAGGTTAGTTCAGTGGTTTCTTAAACAACTGTATTGCTTACAGTATGGACTTGCATTTAACCGGTTAGTTCTAGCCTTCCAGGTTAACAAAATAAAGCATCCAAGACAATTACGTCGCATTTGCCTCCTATTAGATTTTATCATGGTTCATACTATATGGTTTTCAGAATACTGCTGAGGAGGTAAGTTAGTCCTTAATATCCATTGGCCGCCATCGTTTTAACACTACAATTCATTGAATGTTCATTTTAAAATGCAATTTTGAAATATATATCATTTGCACTTCTTGATGAGATGCTTTGTGTTGTGATTTCCATTTCATTCTTTTTCTGATTCATATTAGTAGTTCAGTATTTTTTTACTAATAATCTTATTAAAACTTAAACAGATGTTCAGAAGCTTTAAATTTACCTTATATTATTTGAAAGATGTAGTACAGTCTGTGGTTTTCATTTAGACTCAATAACTGGTATATGGTACATCGGCAATTTAATTATATGTCAACCACTTTGGCGTTTGTTCATTCTCCTTTAAAGACGGTTTAGCTGATTGATGAGCCTCAAACAGGGCTGAGACCACGATATTTGAGTTTTGGAACGGTTAACTAGTAATTTTAAGTGATTTGTCATGATAATCTCCACAAGTCCTATAATTATTAACCTCATTAGTGGCTACATTTTTAGAACGTATTTGTCACTGCAGTAACTGGATCCACCATGGATACAAAGGTTGTAAGTGGAAAAAATGGAACTTTAGTTTTAAAAATTTTTCAAATAAAAATTGTAGAACGTTTGGCTTGTTTCATACATAAGTTGTAGATATTGTAAGACTGCGTTTGATTTCAGCTACGTTTATGCGACTGAATAAATGTAATATAAATACCGGGTTACTAATCAACAAGCTAAGAAACCAAAACCAGTAGAGGTATCCATTGTATAGTGGTAATCATATACCTTGTAAAAAATGTGCTGAATTATTAGCAGCGTACGATTTTTACCTTTCAACGTGAAGTATATGGCTTATGATATTAAATGCTAGGTTGAGATCCGTAAGATATTAAGACATGGTAGAGCAGTATGTGAACTCTGCAGTTTGTTTATTTACACCTAATAATCACGTTTTTATTTGGGTACCTAAGTTTTTGAGTAGTTTCAACTTCAATAATACACACTGGCCTTAGTTTCTTAGTTATGACACTGGAAATAAAAGTCTCACGAGTCATACTCATTACCCGAATAAAAACTTTCAATTCATGATCAGTTTCGTTAGTGTTTTTGGTCGCATAATAAGTATATTTTGCGTGTTGTCAACTTTCTGTCGTTTCATTGTTTTTGGTATTATCAGTTTCAAACTAAAAAAACATGATTAATCGATTGAGGGTTTATTGTTACAGTGATAACTTGTAACCTAGAAAATAATATTTAGGTATCGTAAGGTGCACGATAGTACAATGGAACTGATATTAACAAATGTAGAGTTTCACTAGACCTTTATGTGGTTATTTCCAAAACATACACTGGGAACGAGGAAGGTTATGGCCAATCACTGAAGGATTTTAAAATTTAAACGACTATAATGTTTAGCGGTTTCCATCCTTATATGAGTTTGGAATCGAAACTCTCGGTCTATCAAAGTATGATTTAATTAGTTATGAGGCCTGTAACTTAAGCACTAAAATTTAGTAATGTTTTATAACTGAGATCAGGTAAATAAGTCTTATATTCAATGATTAATCATTTTTTCACCTATAGCTTGCCGACCATATCTAGTGTCTTAGTTGTATTTACATGTAAATCCATTGTGTTGCATGTATGTGCTTGAAGAATCAAATGCTTTACTGTTGTTTTGATAATTTTTTAATCAGTGTATGGTTATAAATTATTTCGCTGTGCAAATCAATTTTTATCTGTTTTTCTAATATGTGATCATATTTCACGGTCTCCCAGTATAGTCCTTATTTTTTTAATCGGTGCAATGTTAGTCGAATGATATATTATTGATCACAAAAATAATTGCTTCTTTCGTCTAAACTGTTTCTCAACTACATAGTTTCATAAGTCATGATAGTAAATTCATAAGAGTGAATTCTATAGATAAAATGTTTTTAACTTAAAAGGCCATAATACTATAGAACTACCTTTTACTAACATCGTATATGTAAATGATTGGTCTTAGGGAAATAGTGAATTAATTAATTCTCAAAAAGTATAGATTTTGTATACGTGATTATCTGCGCCTGGTGAAACAAGTATGAATTATTCAAAAACATACACGTACTATACCTTCGTATTTTCTAGGGTTAATGTTATATTCCGTGGTTAAAATAATGATTACTTTAAAAATTCCAATAAATAATGCCAGAGACCTTAGGTAAAACAGTTTAACATGTAGCTAATGCACTAATGGTAGGTTTTAAATGTATTGTTTGGTCTTGTATACTCTGTATTTTTTACTGATATGTCGAATGATTCAAAGCTATTTAAAATCTCTTGGGACCGGGAAATGGACAGTCGCTGGGTAAATTTGAAGTGTTGATTCAATACGAAAAAAAGTCTGGGAGTTTAATTCGACTAATTAGGATGCCGGGTTTTTTCTAGCTACAAACTAAATCGAGACCAAAGATAAAATCTGCTTTATGGATTGCGTGTATTTAAATTGTCCTGCTTTTTTTAAACTGGAATCATTAAATCTGTCTAACTAATCTTGTTACGATGTTTCTGTATCGTTGTGAGTCACTGAGTACTGTAGTGTCTTAATGAAGAAGAGATGCGCTTGACAAGCACGTGTAAAGTTAGCTTGTTCTAATTTTAAAGGTGGCATAATCCACGGTTATTTTTGGTAACAAGTATTCGCTAAAGCATAAAACTGAGCCCTATAGTACTCTATTCAAGTGTTAAATCTACAGCATTAAAATTACATAAGTTATTGATTCACATCGAAAATATTTTTAATAATAGGTTGTATAAGTAGAAGGATCCAGTAGATATTGTTAATTTCAGTTGCAGCTTCTTAATTCGTAGTTGTTTTCAAGTCGTGACTTACTATTACCCCTAAGTCGTTATGTTCCTGCACGCATGGAAGATATGTACCGTCGTTAGTATTCTGGTAACTGTTACCGTGTCCGATGTGCATGAGAACACTTTCTAGAACTAATTTCTAAGCCCCAACATTGCGACCATCAAAATAATTCGTTTAGTTCAGTTTGGAAACCAAATGATCAGCCGTACTCCTTACTATTCTCCAGATTTTTATACCATCCGCAAACAACAATATCGACGACCTAAGAAATAGCGGTAATTGATTGACTTAGAGAAGCGAAAGTAGGGGACCTAAGATGGTACCTTGGGGTATACCACTTTTGACCAGCTTCCATTCAGATAGTCCCATTAACCCTCAACCTCTATCTTCGGCCACACAAAAAGTTTCTTATTCGTTCCTGTACAGCACCTGTTATTCCAAAGCTCGATAGCCCCTGCTTTAGACCTAGGTGAAAAACCTTGTCAAATGCTTTGTTAAAGTCTATGAATATCGTATCAACAAACAGGTCATTATCTAGGGTTGCTGTTCAATTCTCTCTCGCAATAAGTTGGTCAAGCATGAATGCTTGTCTCGAAACTCGTGTTGCTCGGGGTTAACAGATTGTATGATTCTATGTGAAGAAGTTCTAGAGCTGTATCTTCTGGTTTCCGCTATTTAAAGTAATACAGCTAAAAATGGGATATTTCCAACATACAGTGATATAGTGGATCAACCAAACATCGACCAAATGGCAAGCGCATACTATTAGTCAACATTTGTTTTTTTTTCAAGAAAGAGACACTCGGTTGGTTGAACACGCAAATTAAATTTCTAAGAAGCAAAATATATATATGAGTGAATAAGCGTACAGATCTCTCTCAATTCGGTTAGCTAATTAAAGCTTCCTTCTCACTCGAGTGACCGGTTGGGCTCGTGCACAAAAAGCTTGAATATTGCCGTACTGGACACCGCACAGCACAACGGAAGCACAGGCTTGAACTACCAACTATCAACATAGATGTAACATTATCTACATCATCTTCATTCCTCTTTTGTGATGTTTACAGTTCAGCCCAGTAGTAAATGCACCTTTTTTGCATTATATTATATATCCATTTAATTATATTTCTCTTTACTCTTCTAGTTCTTCTATCAGAAAGCAGATGAATTAGATAGTTGGGAAAAGCAACTTAAACGTATTCACTCCTCGCTTCTTAATTTAGTATCAGGAGACAATGGTAGGCATTTGATTTATCTGAGTTTTTCTTTTTATAATCCTAATAATTGTGATTTGATATCTATAAAACATGTAATATGCAAGTGACATTACGTGTATACTGAATAGTCAGTGGATTTTCCGACTGTCGTATACTGATATGAGATTGTTTTTTCAAACATGAGTCTTAGTTTATTGCTTTTGTTGGTTAGATGTGTTGTCCTTTTGCTTACGGATGGTTGTTGTTTGTTTTTTCCAAGGAATTAAACATTTTGATGTGACAGTTTAAATAATGTTGATCATTATCGGTAAGTTGATACAAAAGGTGGATTGAGAAAGGATATTAAATCCTGACAGTTTAATTTTGGTATTAACTGAACTACTACTGAGATATGTACTACGATATGTTAGTTAGAAGTAGCACCTTTAGACTTGCGAGAAACCAGAGGAATTATTCAGTGGTAACCGTCTGGTTCTCAGCTTCATTTGCTTAATTCCAGAAGTCGTAAGCTCCATATGGCATGATATAGACTAAAGAATAATAAATATGGAAGGGACCCACGTGTTTTAAACTTAGTACAGATAATGTAAACGGATAAATGGGAATATATGTTATTTACGTACAACTGGTCAGAAAGTGGTTACGTACCAGAATGTCTTAAATTGTTATCCAAACAAAATAGACTTCTTGGATAGAGAGACAAATGTTAGCAAACTACTGTTTATTTTGAAAAATATTGAACGAAGACTCAATGAAGCTCTTTATACATGTGGCATTTGTTAAATAGATGGCACTTCATAACTAGCTTCTTTTAGCATAAAGTTTAAAGATAAAGTTGCGTAGTTGAATATGTTGACTACTTTATCTTTGGATATTGCCAACTAGCGGACTATAAAATTCCACTTGACATCTTACAGTCTGCCATTTCAGACACCAACATAATATTGTAGTGCCTGGATAAAATCTTAATAGTTTGTTGATGAGGATGCTTTGACCAACCTTTTTAACTAAGGACCTTATTATTTGAAGCAACTTTCGTCATCCTGTCAGATTTATCGCTAAAACATTAGTCAGATGTAGTGAATCCACTAAATGGGAAACACCAAGAATTGGCGTGGTGTTTTAGAAAAGTATTGTTGATAAATCAATAAGTTTTTTCAACCTTGGAGACTAACTTGGCTTTTCCATGTGTTAAACACACCAAACCATGGTCTTCTCTCACTTGTAATTACGACCACAGTAGAAGATCAAAACATATCGCCAATTTTAATTTACTGAAAGAGTGAACTGTAAAAGAATTTGGCATAGATTTTTACTGGCTCCACGCATTCAGTTTAGTGTTGTTAAGTTAAACCATTATTTGTTTCGTGCATTTAAATTTGCCGTTACCGGAATGATAAAATGGATAAATATATGGTAGTCAAACTCAAACTGTATTGTCACCTGCGTTGAATTGCTGTTGTTTGTAACTGTTGTGTCCTGATAAGCATAATGAATGGTAACTTTTGGGATCCATTTATGGACCAATACTATGCGTATACTTTTATCGTATAATTGTTAAATGACTAATCTATCCATATTCATATCCCTCTTATTTGAATCTTATTTTGACCTCTGAATTATTATTATACTGTTTACTATTCTTGAATTATGCCCTGTCCATTAATTACTACTTCCCACATTCACAGCCACATTTGGCCAAATCTTGCGTAAATGTTGTTTCCTATTTTATTGGTACGATGTGGTCTGTTCGATTGGTATATAAACCCCGTATGTTTGAAATAAATCATTCATATTTCAGAGGCTGAGATTGGTGTTCTGGACTTAACTGGCTGGGTTAGGCTGGAAGCAGGACCGGTAAGTACTCTAGACTGCTCGTACGTGTTTTACGCGTCATTGGTCCGATCGATAAGTCACTACTGTCTAATTGACGGTATCATTACGTATACATTAACAGGGCACACAGGCCACAAGTTATAATAGTAACAAACAAACAAACAAACATTGATATTAAAAAAATACGATACTTTTAGAAATGCAACTCAGTTCTCAAAGCACATATCTTTGCGTCATTGAGTCATAAATCCAAACACCTCTCGAACTACTGCGATCTGATTAACCACCAAGTATCAGTGCTCACCATATGTTAACTGTATCTCAAAGCGAAACACACGGAATTATTTCTCAGTTGCATCACCATAACTTTAAATTGCTCTCAGTTAAGAAACAGTTATTTCAACTTACTTCAGACCTAGCAAATGCCGAAGCTGGCTTGGCTCGTTCAGTTCTTCTCCTGGCTAATGTAGAAGAAAATACTGGTCTAGCTCAAGCACTTCATCATCTGGCAGAAACAGAAGGACATGTCGCTGATTTACACGCTTTACAAGCAGAAGCGCATACGTGCCATTTAGTGGAGTATTCTCGAGAATTACTAGGCATGGTTCAGGCTTGCAAGGTAAGTTTTCCTGATATTTTTAAATAAATTGAGCGTTGGGTGGAAAGTTAATTATAACTTTTTTTTGTGATGTCCCAATGAGTAAGAATTTGTATTTCTAACGTCTCCTGACTCAAAGTAAGTAACTTCTTCAGAGCAAATCGATTTGTCAGTATAGGGTTATGGAGATTGTTGAGTTTTGATTGATATCGCGAATCGATCGATGTCAGGCCACAAATGAAAATCTGTAAGCACTGGACGGCTGTTTCGTCCTATTATTTATTTATTATTATGACGAAACGTCAAAAGTACAAATTTCTACTGATTGGGAGGTCACAAAAACTGTAATAGTTATTGTTTCTCTAAACTTACTTAGAAGGTAGATGTTGACTTGACGAGTGATTTAAACGGTGATGCAGTCATGCTGTTTAATCGTAAACCATGTGTTAGCGGGACATAGACTGGATTAAAGCATGCTCTATGCACGATTGCTTTGGTGCACGCTGATTGGCTAATTCTTATCCGATCAGCACTAGTCGTTAGTTGGAGAATACTCTAGAATCTTCTCGTGTAAAAACTATAAATATACTAACGTTTTCCCTATTGTGCTTCTTACTTCCATCTAACCTTGTTATTTGAAATATAATCTCTTTCCTGTTCAACCGTGTTTTGATTTGGCGATTTGTCGAGTGAATCGGTGCCCGAGAATACTAAGCAATAGGAATAGTTGGGTAATAACCGGAAGAAAGAGATTATAACACCATGTTTTTATGAAGTTCTTCCAAAACATTTATCAAAACTGTTGCTTTAAAATTTATCTTTCACAGTGTACTCAAAACGGACTGTTTCTGGAAAAGTTAGGGTTTTGTTAAACTATGCAGACAAAGTGTTTTTCAGTCCCGCTTTTGTTTACAAAAGGTTTACACTCTCTAGTTTATATGTATCAGACTGTGGTAGAGCTTTACTACTATCAATACAACCAGGTATTTATATTTCGTTTATTGCTTTAAATTATTTCGTTATTTATCAAGTCTAAGTTGTCTTCTAAGTCTTTGGTCAGGACATCTGAAGTGTAGTGTAGCACATAAACTAAAGTATACCCTAAAATTACCATCTGTTCACTCTTTTTGTGGGACTACTCATAGTTTACTACCGAATGTTTGAATTTCAAGCAGAATGTGTTGAGATAGATATTTAGAATTAAATTGGGCTGTAATATTTAAAGAATCATGGGATTATTTAACGTTACACTATTTTGCAATTACGACAAATTTAAGAATATGAGACCCCTTATTGATTAATCACATGGTAGCCATAAAACTTTAAAATGAAAAATAATCCTCTAATCAATATTCAAATAGATAGTTTTAATTTAACTGTTTGTCTTGTTATTTCTAAACGAAAAATCTTATTAATATTACTTCATTATTTTGAAAAAAAATATTCATAATACCAAGTTAAATGTATATAATTTAGGATGTTTTAAGTGAACGTGTACGAATATATCGTACATGGAAAACCGCTGAAGCTAATCTTCGTTCAAAGCGCGAACAGAAAATTCGAATGGAAATGGCACCTAGAAATGATAATAAAAAGATGGCCACGATAACAATGGAGTTGGAAGATGTAAGATAATTTATTCCTTTTTTATACTGATTATTTTCATTTAATACTAACAAAAGCAAATATGCTCCCATCAGTTTGAATTTATTTTTGGATCAACTTGTCTCTGATCTAATGATTGATGATGAATTTTATTAATATGTTACCATAATAATAATAATAATGTTGGGGATGCCAGATCCCCAGCAACTTCTTGGCAAACGTCTTATTTTTGTAATTTTATTTCGGGAATTTTAATTTCTCGTCTTCGCACCAAAAGTATCCATTTTTATCTCCAGATTGTATTTCCAACTTGACAGGACTTTAAATTTGATTGGTTCGTCTCTTTTAATACGCTATTTTGTGACGTTTCCTAAGGACCTTTTTACGCTGTACATATACGCTTGAGTTGTGTGCTTGTCTGTTCCTGCTTATGGATGCTTGCGGAATACACTTTTCCCCTGGCTGATATCGGTCTTCTCCCTATAGTTATCAGGGCTGGGACACATTGGAGTAGTTTAGCTTGTCTTGTCGTTGTGTTGCTAATCCTTCGTTCCGTTCACAGATTTCAGGTGGTCTCGTAATCTCTTCAAACATAGCAGTTTATTTTTTGTGTCAAATGTTATGTACATATGTATCATATCGGTTAACAAAACGACATGTTTTTAGTTCTTATTATTCCCATTTATTAGATAATTTACGTCAATAACTGGGTTTCTTTTGTGAACAGCCTTCACTTGATCGCAGTTCACATGAATTTAGACGACTGATTCACGTCACACACGAGTGACTATTTGGACGAGAATAGAAGAGTAAGCGGGAAAATATACTGGACTATCTAATAAAATACACAAACACACCCATATATATACCAGTCTATCTGTAGGAAATTGACCCATTTTGACTCCAATGAAATGTACTTGATTTTTATGTCACATCTGAATGCTATCGATTGACTTTTTCATTAGGCTACTTCTGATTGGCACTCCATATTAGATGACTGTATTATTAATTAATTACTGCGTATATTAATAACTTATTTTATAGTATATTCAACTTATAGGACATAAACATCAAATATTACTCAAACAGCATGTTTTCACTGATTTATCCAAAGAGGATTAAAATGATCTAAACCTACCTAATCATCATTAGGATTTAAAATTTTAATGAAACTTTTCGTTGTATTCCATTTGAAGTAAGAATTCATTAAAAATTGTCGATAAGTACTGGTGGATACTACGTTTTTGTTTTCCCCCTAGGTTACACTTGATCTTAAAGTTACTGTTACAAATTAGTCGCTATTTAAAACCAAACCTTCAATTTAAAAACTAATACTTAAAGCTATATGCTGGATGGGAATTTTATTTCTGGAAATAGTAATTAAAAGTTAACATGTGATACTCTATAGGATATTCAACATTTCACCATCAGCTTTATTGATCTGTGTACTTTCACAGCAACTTATCAACACAACTGGTTAGCTCGTACAATTTTACTAATCAAGTATTCGATCAGTCATACGTAACATAGAACCTGGCATATACATGCATCGATCTAAGTTGTCACACTGAATTAACAAAGTAAGATAAGTAAATGTCAGAGCAGTTGAATTATTAAGTGTCAGTGGTAGTGGGAGGCATGAGAATCGACAGTGTGATTCTGGACGAAGGAACGACTTCATAAGATAAAAAATTAATATAATTTTGATACTCAAGATCTAAAAGGAGACGAAGAGTGAATACACTAGCACTAGTGCTATCAACTCTAAACCATATTATTCACCGTCTCAAGTACTCGTTAAAATAATCACTCGGTGACCTCAAAAGGTAGTCTGCATCTACCTACAATGGCGTAGTCCTACAGTCAATGACTTCATGAACCGATGCCACGAGTATTAATTGTCCTCATTTCTCTGATGTTAATCAACATCCTTGGTGCATTTTTAGGATATAGTCTCTAAACTATTTGCTTTACATATAGTGCTCTTTCTTCACTTACTCTCCAAACAATTATCCCACCTTGTGAATTTTCTTCGAGTATTTTTTATTGTTAGATGATTGAGAATATTTTGCACCATTTATTTATGCACGATTGTTTTTATTATATAAATCAAGGTTTTTGTTATGATTACTAGTTCTTATTTTTTGTATATTTTATTTTGTACATTACACATAGTTACATGGTTCTATTCTTTTTTCTTCATTTCTTTTAAAGCTTGAAAATCGTGTAGATCAAGCTCAGCATAAGTTTAATAATATATCTATAAATATTAAAAGAGAATTTCAAAATTTCGACTTGAATCGTTTTGCTTATTTCAAACAAGCCACTACAGAATATTTAGAATTGTTATTGCAAATTCAATTAAAAGTAAGTGAATATTGTTTCCTATGATTAAAACACAAACACAGGTTACTATTTTCATAACCACTTTGTTTTCAATGTTATTGTTTCAGTTAACTTGTTATGATGGACATTATTTTCAAACTATAATTAGTTAAAAGTTAATCCAATACTTATTACCATTTTCATTGAGAAAATTGAACTGATAGCAACTGAGAAACAATTAGAAGTTATTTTCATGGTTGTTCGACTAAGATCACTTATTCCATGATATAAACTATACTAGCAATAATCATGTTCTCGCTAGTGACTAATTGTAAAGGATAGTTCACGGAGTTCCACTGAGAAGCCATGACTAGTGAAGCTCAAACATGTCGAATGTAAGGCGAATTCCTATTACTTTCATCCAAACATGGTTGCTCAATATTGTGAATTAACCGAAGCTAGATATGTAAACTAGTGGTCAGCGGTCTAAAGGTTAGGTATTCGAAGGGAATTCAGAACTTTCTCGGTTTTTTCCGTGATGCAGTCGCAGATGCACACTGATGAGAAGTCCTATACTAGGACAAAACAACTATCCAGTGCTTCCTTGTTTTTATTGTTTAATTAGCTAAAATCAGTCCGTAATGTAAACTATGAAAAGAAAACAGATTTTGATAACAATTATTTCTTGTCCACCTCCAATTAAACATTGAATAATTAAATATAACATTATCTTTAAAAATCACACATATTTATATTTGAAATAAACTTAACTTCTTTTTCATCATCTTTTGTATACATTGGACAATAGGTGTTAGAGAACTGGGAGAAATATTTGTCTTATACAAACGGTATCAATTGATGTATGCGCATATAGGCTCTGTTAACAATTTTTTTATTTCTAGAAAAGAAATATCCTTGGTTTTGGAATTATTTTCCTTCTCTTTATTACACAATCAATATTCCACACTTATTTATTGTTCCATTGAAATTTTAAGTTAAACATATATGTTAATTTCTCATCCTTTGTGTACACCTAACACGCACACACACACACCTAGATAATGCATGTGTATACACTTGTATACTGACTGTATTTCGGGTAATTAATTCTAAATAATCGCTTGGATATGGTGGTTGTGATAAGTCTTTATTTTTTTCTTCTGTTAATCATTTTGTAATTTATGCAACTCTTAGATTGATTTCATATCTCTGCCACTTTATGCTGATTTCATGCATATGTTTAATAATAATATGGTGTTTTGATTTGATCAGCGTGGAAGGACATTATCCTTCATTCTGTTCCAACTAGCATGAACAGTCTAAATAATAAGGCGCATTCTGTGTTTAAGAAAATTTAAATAGTTCACTTGTTTGCAGACTAGTTTACCTTTCTAGTATACGTAACTTTAGACGTTCTGTATGCCTTAGAAAACATGATGGGTGATTATGATCTAAATACATAATTTCTTTTCAATTTCTTAGCTGAAAAATTTGAGTGTAGTGTTATGTCCGTTCATTCAAAATATGACAGTATAATTAGTCTGCTTTACATTATGATTAAATCGCGACAAGATCTTGTTGATAACAATATCCCTTTATATAACAGTTTCAACTAAAAGAACCCATCTCACACAGCTTGTACATGGTAGTTCTCATAATATGTGACATACACCAGTTCTTTCTCAGTTACCAGTTAGTTACAAAGTGTTTTGATAAAACCAGCGGTAATTTGAACATGGACACACCACTATCTGTGTCGAACCCAAAGATTACATCTACAACCTCGATTATTACAGATTAATTATACGCCATGCCGTAACACTGATTATTAATAGATTTGTCATTTTTTGATTTTTAGTTATTTAAGTAATTTGAACTGAAAGTTGACCAATAGTTCATGTTCTTGTGGATGGCGAATTCTGGATAGAAAATAAAACATATCACTATCCTTAATGCAAAAGGTGTATATAGTTCGATATATATACAAGCATGTGCTTATTAAATGATTTACATCGATTTTACCTGTGGAATGAATAGTCCTCTGTAAAACCTAGACAATATTTGATGAGTCCAACGAAGAGATAAGTGTCTGAACCTGAATTTTGCACAGAAACGCCTATCTTGTACTTTTGGTCATCTTCCGTGGTAATCGATTCATATCCAGTAATCTAAGGATGCAATTTATGTTCGTTCCTCTGTTTATGTTTCAGTGCATTATTATCAACTAATTTGCTAGGTATAGATCTGTGAACTTGGACTCGAACCATATCCTAAGAATGAAGGCTAGTAGTACTATTTGGTTTCTCAGACCGAATTAAGCGGAGCGGGATTCAATCCTGCCACTTGGTGGCTGTAATTTGAAGACCTCAACCATTAATCAATCGCTCGATTGTACAACACATAAAGACATATACTGTTTAGTGAATCAGTAATTTAACCATTCTAATAATAATTTTTAGTAAAACTGACTAACTGCTTGTAACTTAACTGTTTATACTATTATAGAATAGCAAAGACCGTTCCTGACTGTAGTCTGTTTATCTACAGTAATTCAAAGAGCTTTTATGTGTAATTAGTCACAAAGAAGCTAACTAATAAATGTTTTATTATCATTAAAATGAATGATTGTACAACTTTTATGATTAGCATAAATGATTCATCGGGTTAGTCTGTCATACGGTTTAAATCGATTTGAATGTTAAGGTAAATAGTTGATTTGAAAGTTACCTGTTCAATATGTGTATGTACACAACATAACACAATATAGAACCAGTTTGCGCCATAAGAATTAATATAAATACATTTTAGTGTAGATAAATCACTGCTTTAAACAATCGAAGCATGTTTAATGTGTTCTAGTGGTGAAAGTTTAGAAAATGAAAGTTTTTCTAGGTACATTATGAATCAACAGGTCAGTTGCTGCTCGAACATCTCAGCGGTGATATCTTAAATTGTAAGGTCGTGTTACTCGGGCCCGAATCTCATGGGGAACATCAGCTCTCACGATCTCAGTTATTCCTTGTTGAGGAATGTCAAGTACGACGAAATCAAGGTCCATTGTTTCTTGCCAATTACCAACAAAAACTCCACATAGGACTACAATACTTTTCACTCTTAGTATAATCACGAAATGTGTTTATATTAATACTCAAATATTCTAAATTAAAACATCAGTTGACATTAAGGTAACTATGCAGTGTGAAAAACCAAAGTTTATACTGATTTATGCCAACGTGAAGTTGCCATCGATTGCTAACCACTAAGCAATATTCAAAACATTTGTAATTCTATCGTTTGAAAAACATAAATCGTTTATAATGGTGATAATCGAACACGTTATCATTAAGTTGTGCATGTTTGTTACTTGTACTGTTACAAGATCTGAAGTTTTACACCTATCGTCACTTGGATTTCTATTCAAAAGTTATCAAGACAACAGTCAGTTGTCTAGGTACAGTTGGCTGTCAGATAGTTAAAAGTAAATGAATACCACAAATTACAAAATTAAGGCTGTGTATCTTCTTGTATATGGTCTTTGGTGTAAGGTTTTTACCACATATATTTATACTGCAGTCACTCGTCAAGAGTGGTTCGTTAACTTGCTCAGACCAAGTTCAAGTATTATTAGTACCATAGATAAGTAATCTTACTTTTCAGTACTGTTTACACCAGTAAACTCTACATTCCTTGCAAATCTTTAACAGTTGCATGAGTAAACCACTGAGAGAAGGAATAAATCAATCAAGGATTGTAATCTTACCTAGCTTGTCCTTGAATCTGTACTAAATGAAGAGACATTAGTGACTAAGGATTGTTTATATGATTATTGGTGTTGTCATATATACATCTGTTCATGAAATCACAAACTGATTAGGAATAAAATTACTTTGAAAATTTGTCTGTATGGTTAAATAAGCACTTCAACATCAATGTTATTCACACAGATAGTACCATCATTCAATGTGGACAATTTTGAAGAAAGTTGGTGATAGATATTGGTTTGTATCTACCATCATATGTGAGGTCATCAAGAGCTTTTATTATTCTATTGTTAGTGATTTGAAAGCAAGTAGTAACTGCTTGCTGTAAAACTACTTTTCTTCACCCAAATAAGTTTTTCATAGATTAAGGTTTCAAAAAAAACTCAAAGCTTTTCAGCTAATTTGAAGTGCTTGAAATACGATGAAAAAAGTATACATTAACAACTGGCTTACGCCATCTCAGCATTAATCTTCACTAAAACACCATGATCTGATTTCCAAGATGTAAAACAGAGATCCGGAAACCGATAAGCTCAGAGCATTGTCCGAACGATTCTTCAACAGCTACATCAAATCTCAGCATTTTCATATCATTTAACCATATAAAAGTTTAGTACATTATGTTTCGTTAAAATGTAGGTTTGATGAGATAAATTACTTTTGAGCTTGACTTCGAAATAGGGAAATGGTTAGCTTCTATTGTTTCAGTTCATCCAGTAAATTTATAGTTAAATTCTGGTGAAGTTTGCTTAGTCGTGTAGTTCCGTTTGCGATATTTTTCTCAAAACGACCACATGTGGTTTTTATTTGAGATCATATAATGAGTGAGTGATGAACTGCCTGCATCAGATCTATCACCTATGATTAATGGCCACTCTACTCATCTCCTTCAGTTTACAATATTAGAAATTCTACTTACACAACAATTAATTCCCTGTATATCAGTGAGTTAAGTAGTTTCACTTGTAAAGGTTTGAACCTTTCCATTATTGATGTTTTGGGCTGCAACCGATCAGTCTCCTTTGGTGTGTGTATATCTCATGTGTCTTTGTCACACGCATCTTTAAGCCAAGCTTTCATAGCAGCTAATAGATGACACGCACGTTGTCCCAATTGGTACTCGTCAGCTAGATATACATGCGCTTCAGTGTTGATATTCCCACCAGGACCTGCTGCTTTCTGCATCCCATGCCAACGTATCATCCAGTAGTGTCGGTTACTATGTTAAACCCATATATGTTATTCTAGCTTTTGGGCAGGCAAGTTTATTCATCATTCTTCTTGAGTCACGTTTTGACCTTGTTAATTATTTACTTATCAATCATGACTGTTTTTATACGAGCGTATGTGTGTGCACTTCTTATCCTTTTCATCACATGTCTGTAACTTATTTTTGTATGACTATGAATATTGATTCACGCTTAATTTAATTGAATTGGCTGACACGTCTTCACTGCGCGCCGTCTCGTTTCGCTCTCTCTTCTTCGCTCCCTTCATTATGTTTTTCTGATCATCTTTTCCGATCAACGATTGTACAAAATATGCGCATTCGAAATCTATTCTGGTATTTGGCTTATTTAATTCCGTTATTTACTAACGCAGATTAAGTCGATAGTTACATACGAGGATAGGCGATATGTATATCTCAATAACAATTAAACATACAATCTAATTAGGGTCAGATTCAGGGCCACTAAAATCCACTGGGGTAATGAGTTTGGTCAGCCACTGGTAGTGCACAAGGGACCAACTTGAATTTTATTACTAACGGTTTGGTTGTGAGAGGTAATTAGTTCAAATTCTGATGAGGATATCAACACTGCGGGCATATCCGGCAAACGAATAATAAATAGAACGAATTGTGTGTCCTAGAATTCTTTACTAGACGCTCTCAAAATTTAGCTTAAAAGTGAGTAATATGGCTTGATAAATAGACAAAATGTCCAATAAATTGAGTAAAAGGAAATATTTGAGTCTTTTATTTACGTACATCTTGTTAATTGGAAGAAAAACGATATTATTTCAATTGGCAAAACATATGCTAATGCAAAAGTTATTTTAAAAAGATGAATAAAAATAACCATTTTTTGAGTATAAAATTCAGCAAATAGTTGTTGGTTAAAAAAAATAAATCTCCACAAATTTATTTTTGTTCATATTGTGCAATGTAAACACGAGTACCAGAGGCAAATGCGAATTGCACCATACGTTTGTTACTGTTATCATTTGTCTTTGGCTCAATAAAGGCCAATGAATAAATACCACTTGTCAATTCCGTTACTGATCCA